AACCTTCATTAGCTGGTATGGGTTGGCGTCAAAGGCTTATGGTAGCAGGAGGTTATGTAAAGTAAAGGAAAAACATTTTTAAAACAGTATATTTTTATAGAAATGTACGCTGAGTTTGTTGGAGAAGACCGTTGGGAAACTTGTTTGTTAGATGAGAAGTAAAACATTGCATGAAATAAAACATTTTTAAAAAAAATATTTTTTTATTTTATTTGAAATGTACGCTGAGTTTGTCGGAAAAGACCGTTGGGAAACTTGTTTGTTAGATGAGAAATATGAAATTCACTGTTGTGAGTCATTTGAAGTCAGAAACAAAAAGACAAAAAGAGTTTTAAGCGAATGGGAGCAAAATAACGGATATGCTAGGATGAAGATGAGTGGAAAAAACTATTTTAAACATATTGTCATTGCAACTCATTTTATACCGAACCCTAACAATTTACCTTTTGTAGACCATATAAACCATATAAGAAACGACAATAGACTTGAGAACTTACGTTGGGTTACTCGTTCTGAAAACAATAAGAACAAAAGCAAAATTGGAGATATTGTATTCGAATTTGTCGACGAACTAGAAGATGAAGCAATTGAAATTACAGACTATGGCAAGCATACGTTTGAGTTTTACTACTATAGCGAAGAACAAGACTCTTTCTACTTTTATACCGGCGTAAACTATAGAAAATTACAAGTATATTTTACTAAGGCAGGCTATGCTTATGTAAACGCTAGAGATACAGATGGAAAAAACGTTAAAATACTTCTTAACAAATTCAAGAAGCTATATGGCATACCATTTTAAACCATATATTTTTACATATATTAAATGCTTCAGGTTGAAAAACAAAGAACAAAAGTAGCAGATACAAAACCGTTAGACTATATCTTTACAAATGCTGGTAGGACTGTTTCAGATGAGGAAATTTCATCCCGTTCATACAGGTTTGACTATCCAATTCGTTGGCTTCAAAGTCCTTCAGATGCAAAGGCAATAGGATTTAGAAGAGTTTTGTTTTCAAATAGAACTAACGCGTTTATGTTCGCAGTAGATTTTCATGGTCAGTATAAAGGCTCTGATGGTCTAATAGACAAATTTGATGAAATGAGAATCTTTACAGTTCGTTCAGACGAAAGTCTTGAGAAAACTCTAAATGACTTTCAAACTCAAATAAACAAATACTATTGGGAATTTCAAGAAAAATACGATTCTTTACTAAACGGAACGTACTATCTGAAACTAGAATATGACAAGATGAACTCCACCGTTTCATTTCAAAAGATTGAAATTAACCCTCCAAGAGATACAGAGTTTTTATTTTGGGAAGTAGACAAACGTTCTTGGGCACAATTTCTTCGGTTACTAAACCAGAACGAACCATTACCACCTGACGGTCCTTTTAAATTTATACTTCCACCAGCAGATTTGACAGTTTATAGAAACGTGTTTGACCCTCAAAATGTTATATGTCATGCAAGTTTCAGTTCAAGCAACAACAGTTTTCTTTGTATTGGTAAGGACTTTTATGACATTGCTTCTAAATTCTACGAACCACCTAGTAACAGTTTCTCTGACTTTCAAGTTTGGTTCACAACAAACGGTGTGCAGCATATTATTCCATTGTACTATGACTTTTATCTCGAATTGTCTTTCATATACAACTACGGAAAAGTGCTGAAAAAGTACTGAAAAATAAAGTTTAGGTGAAGAGGTGCGATCTCACCTGTTTTCTCACCTCTTTTTTCACCTCTTTTCTCACCCGTTGAATTTTCATGAATTTTGTGCTGAATTCGACAAAAATGAGTTTTTGGTTGAAAAAAGAGGTGGAGCCAAAAGTGGCTCGACCTCAAAACAAGCATTTTGTGAAGAATATACCAACCCGCGGAATTCCGCGGGTTGCTTTTTATACAAAGTTCAACAGGTGAATTTTCATGAATTTCCTTAAGATAGAAAAAAATATATTTTAGGCGACCAGGTCACTCGGTCACTCGGTCACTCGGTCATTTTAACTTCTCTGAAAAAGTGTGACAACATGACATTTTGACAACAACACAGGAAATAGATTTCATCGTATATTTTTTGTTAAGACTTCATCGTAAATGTTTTGTTGAGACTTCATCGTATATGTTTTGTCGAGATTTTTATCGTTGTGGTCCGACGGTTAAGCCACAAACGAATGTCCGACGTCCCACCAAAAAATATTTTTTATTTTTATTGTAAGAACAGTATGACAGTCGAAGCAAAAACGTTCACGAACAAATCTAATGGCGAAACATTCACAAAAGGCACTTACAACGGTATTGAAGTCTTACGTAGAGACATGGATGGTTATATTAACGCAACAAATATGTGTCAGCAGTTTAGGAAGGACTTTAGAAGGTTGTTGGAAAATAAGTCCTGGGAAGAGTATTTTAAGGCATTTTGTGAAGAATATACCAACCCGCGGAAAACAGCGGGTTGCTTTTTATACAAAATTCATGCAGGAATTCCTGATGAAATCAAACAGGTTAGAGGAACGTATGTAGACCCAAGACTTGTAAACTATATAGCAATGTGGGCTTCTCCAAAATATTGTATAGCAGTTGGAAAAATTATGGACTCCATAGACAAGAAAGTTCATGAGAAATTAGATGAAGAAGAACTTGAAGATACAGTAGAGAATGCAAAACCTTTGTTCGAAGAAGAAGTTAGAAAAATGCATGAAAAACAAATAGAACATGAACGTGAGATATGTTCTGGTTATAGAGACTCGCCATACGAACTAGACCAATGGGAACAAGAAGATTTAAAGAGAGAATTTAGAGAATATGAACTCGCTAAAATTTCATTAGAAGCTGCAGAAAAGAAGTTAAAAGCTTGGGGTTGTTTTGTACAAAAATATTGTGAGTAAATGAACCATTTTTCAGTAAAAATATATTTTAGGTGAAGAGGTGAGATCTCACCTCTTTTCTCACCTCTTTTCTCACCTCATGAATTTTCATGAATTTTCCCGAAATAAAAAATAAAGTTAGTTTTTTTAAAAAAATATTTTTTATTTTTATTGTAAGAACATGTTAGCAACAACTTCACCAAACTCGTTAGTCATGAACCCAACTTCAATGTTGGTAGAAATGAAAAGCTTCATTCCTTCTTCATATACTTTCGAAACAGAAATCCAGAAGATAAAGCAAGAACTTCTCCAAGGAGATCTAAACTGTAGTGCGAAAGATGAAACAAATGAACAGTATCTTTATGAAATGCAGGACATTATTGACCATTTGCCTAAACTACCTGAAATCCAACAACAAAAGCTTACTATTCCAGAATTTGAAGAAATTGAAGTCAAACCAACTGACTCAGTAGAAATAAAGAAGTTCATACGTAATGTAAACTATGAGTTTCTTGGATTTCATTGCAACCACAAAGATTGCGACATGGTATATTTCATTGACATATATAAATCTGAAGAATTTAAGACCTACGACAACTTTGTTTCGTTAGTTGCAAAATGTGTATGGCAGATAAGAGATAAAGATAGAAGAGGCAAAGTATGGAACGGACAAATAAAACCCGCAACTTTTGAGTTAAAGAAAACCATTTACGCCTTAGTTGTTTTAGCAGGTAAGGTTTCAATGTACAATGCTAAAATGAACCCACAATGTTCAAAATGTAAAGCAGCAATGAAGAAATATAACTACTCCGTCAAAGAGATAGAACGTATGAGAAACGACTATGCTGACTTAAAGAAAGAAGTAGAGAAACCAGCAGAAGATAAAATGGACATGTTAGCATTTCTGAACAAAAACTATCCAACTGCTGACGATTTCCTTCTATCTGATGTCAAGAAGAAATATAAAGAAACTTTCGGCATTGTTAAAACATTCGATGTACTAAAAGAAGAAATAGAAGCTACAAAACTGTTTAAAGTCATGAACCATCACAACATATACCATGTAAAACGCTTATAAAACTTTATGGTAGAAATATATTTTTGGGTCATTTACGCTCATTACGATGAAATCTTAACAAAACATTTACGAAGAAATCTTAACAAAACATATACGATGAAGAAGTCTTGACAAAACATGTACGAAGAAATTCATGAAAATTCATGAGGTGAGAAAACAGGTGAAAAAACAGGTGAAATCTCACCTCTTCACCTAAAATATATTTTTGCTGAAAAAATGACCAAATTTCATTATATAACCGTTATTTTTTTACGAAGAGAACTTTTGCACTTCGTAAAAAAAATCCCTGAAATCATATCTTTTATACATGAAAATCATGAATTTCCTTAAGATACAAAATAGAAAAATTAACGCTAGTTTTTTTAAAATATTTTTTTTTATTTTGTATGTAAGAACAGGAAATGACAAGCACTGAGTTTGAAACAGTTAGAAAGATAGACAATGACACCAAAGTGGTTAGAATTGGTGATTTAAACGTAAGATACTCAAAGAAATACAACAAATATTCTTTGTCAGACATTTTATCTCCATCTGAAGGAAAGAAAGCACACGACTGGGTTAAAAATGCTTCAACTCAGAAAATTTTGACAAGAAATCCTGAGCTTATGATATCGGTAAGATTCTATGGAACAAGAGCATATCTCATCGACAAAAGTCTTATACCAATAGTTTTGTTATGGTTAGACCCAGTTGTTGGATATAACTTCATAACATATGGTTCGTTCGATACGGAACGTTGCAGTGAAGGCTTACTTTACATCGTTCAGAAACCGAAGGACTTCAATACAAAGAGATATAAGATAGGAAGAACATATAATATAACTCAAAGATATGACTCTACAGTCAATAGAGTCAAGGTTGTGTTCGTTAACGATATGAGAGCTGCTGAAACAGAACTACTTGAAAAGTTTGAGAAAATGTATGGTGCTCCCACGAAAGGTAAAGAAACGTTTGAAGTAGATGAGATCGACAAAGCTATAAAAGTATTTGACGAAGTTGCTGAAAAATACATGTAAAGCGTTTATTTTTGGTCTTTTGTGAAAGTCAAAGACGATATGTACCAAATGCAAAGTATTTTGACAGCATGTTATGCTCCAGACACTAAGCTTCCTAAAGACTGGTTTAGGAACCAAAGCACACAAGAACTTTTGAGTGAAATTTCTCTAGACCGAATTTTTTCGGTCTTGCATAAAACTCATGAAAATCGTGAAGAACAGCGAGTAGGTAAAAAAACCTGGTCGCCAAAACTCTATGAAAATCGTGAAAAATTGCGACCGGTAGAAAACCGCGGGTCGCCAAAACTCTATGAAAATCGTGAAGAACAGCGAGTAGGTAAAAAAACCTGGTCGCCAAAACTCTATGAAAATCGTGAAGAACAGCGACCCAGACTTTTTTCGGGGTCGCCTAAAACTCATGAAAATCGTGAAGAACAGCGAGTAGGTAAAAAATCTTACTCGCCTAAAACTCATGAAAATCGTGAAAATTTGCCAAATGGTTTGAGAGGCTGGTATGTACATAGACTTCTTGTAAATGCTGTTGCAATGTGGGCTTCACCTCTTCACCTAAAATATATTTTTATTGAATTCAGCAACAAAAATCATGAATTTCCTTAAGATAGAAAAAATAAAGTTAGTTTTATTTTTATTTATTTTTTTATTTTGTATATAAGGACAGATATGACAACAACAGAGAACACAACAACAGTTATAGTCCATGAAGCCATAAATGAAGAATATGAGTACATACAATATAACAAACAGTTACGTCTCATTCGTTCGGTCAAAGATGACATGTACCAAATGCAAAGTATTTTGAATGCTCTTCGTTCTACAAAGCAAGCATATCATTGGTTTGAAAACCAGCAGACAAAAGAACTTTTAGAAGAATTTCCTCATATGTTTGCGTTCCTCGAAAAACCGAGGAACGAGATTCCATACGAAAATCGTAAAAATTTGCCAAATGGTTTGAAAGGATATTATGTTCATAGACTTTTAGTAAATGCTGTTGCAATGTGGGCTTCACCTCGCTATGCTTGTTATATTTTCATGATGTTAGATGAAATTCATAGACAAGAACGTGAAGAGATGGAAAACAAGCTTGAAGCAAAAGACAAAAACATACAGAAAAGAATACCACGTTCGGTACCAAAAGGAAAGGAAAAGAACTATAAGTATATGATTTATACTGAAGAGATGGAAAATGAAGAAGACAGAGATATGGTTATGTTGCATTAGTCAGAAGAAACAACAAGAGCTTTTACGACCTTGCTAAGATTTACAAATCTGACAGAAATTGGTTCTATCGCGAAAACTTACCGATTTCAATGACACCAAATGAAGATGTGAAACAAATAGTTCAAGATACGTTACCTCAAACACACTATGATATTAAAGGTTGTACAATTCTTACCTTCAAAGAAGATTTGCCATTGTTAAAGGAAAAAATAACAGAGTATTTTGACAACTTCAAACAAGTAGAGTAGATGAACCATTTATTTTTCAAGCTTGACACCAAAGATGGCTCAGGTAGCTCTATAAGGTAAATTGTCTTGTCAAATCCTTCTGGCATTCCAAGTCCTTCCTTCCGACATTCCAAGTTCTTCCTTCCGACAGGAAAAATTTTTCCCGACAACTGGAAGAACTCTTCCTTCCGACAGGAAAAAAATTTCCTTCCAACAGGAAAAAATTTTCCTTCCAACAGGAAAAAATTTTCCTGTTGTCCGTCCGTAAACCATTCAAATTTTCGAAAATTGAGAACTTTTTGGTCGACCTTCAGGAAAAATTTTTCTTTCCGACAGGAAAAATTTTTCTTTCCGACAGGAAAAGTTTTTCTTTCCGACAGAAAAAGTTTTTCCTTCCAACAGGAAAAGTTCTTCCTTCCGACAGGAAAAGTTTTTCCTTCCAACAGGAAAAGTTCTTCCTTCCGACAGGACACAAACGAATGTCCGACGTACCACCAACCGAGTCCATTCCAAAGCCAGAAGAACCGAAAGCTGCAGAACCACAACAGACTAAGACTAAAACACTTACATTTTTACGCTTGACTTTTTACAATTTGAACTTTGTTTGCGTAGATATGAATTCTGAAAGAAGTATGAGGGTCTTGTATGACTTTGTACTTCTCCCATAGTTCATATCTGTCAAACTTACCTGCCATGGACTCTTTCATAAGTTCCATGAAATCGTCTTCGGACAATCCAGGGAAAAGTATAATGTCAGTAAGTATTCTCTTTACATCCTTACTTAAACTCTTGGCTGTCTGTACACAAATGACAACTGAGATGTTAAAGTGTCTGAGCTTCTTAAGAATTCGACACATGTCTTGTTCTCTATTCTTTAACAAAGGATGAGAGGCGAAATCATCTAAGATAAGAAGACATCTATGAGGGTACGTTTTCCAATCGTAAGATTGCAATTTCTTCGAAATGTATTCTATCTCTTTCTGTTTGTTTCTGAAGTGTTTCTTCTCTAATATTCTCTGCATTTCCTCATTTGGGTCTTTAAACTTCGAATTTATATACTCATTTATAGCATTGTACTTCAAAACTCTTCTTTGGTACTTCTTTATCCAATCTAACAACTCAGAGTCTTTTATACATACTAACTTAGACTTTTTTATAATATCTTTGAACGAATTGACGGTTTGGTCAAATTGACCCGAAGTACTACAAATAACAACTAACTCATAGAATGGGTTCTTCTCATCTAGTTCTTGTTGTTGTGCAGCCATTTTAAGATAAGTGAAAGTCTTACCCGACCCAGGCGGTGCGATTAGACCTGTTATACCATTCTGAGCAAATAAGAACTTGTCATGTATAGGTTTTATCTGAGCATTTTCTAACTTCCTCTTGTTCTTATTTAAAACATTCTCAAATTTTTTGTCAATGTCAGCAAACTTTTTTTCTAACATATTTTTAGAAAAATTAAAATTTTTATCTTTTTGAAAATGTCTAGCGATTTCGCTATCTATATTCGAGACAAGCTTTTCGACAGCAAAACATCTGTCGACCATAAAATCTTACATAGTGTAAACAAGAAAGGTGAATTTGTTCTAAAGTTCTGTTTCTGGGAATATGACAAGAACCATAAAACATTAGGCAGAGCAGTCTTTAAGTTTGTCAATGACAGACTTGTTGACAGAGATGACGCCTCTTGGAAAGATGAAGTCCAACAAAAGTTCTTAGAATGCAAAGAAGACACATGCGCTGTTCTTGAAGATGAAATAGAAAACAGAATAGAAGAGCTATTAAATGACAAAGAACTTTTACAAAAATATGGTTCTGAGAAATTTGACATAACTCCACCAGAAAAGAAGAAGAGAGAAAAGAAAGAAAAGAAAGTAGAAGAAGAGAAGAAAGAACCTGAACCAGTTCCAGAGAAAAAGAAATTTGACATGTAAAAATAAAATTTTATTTTTAGAACATTTCTGGGTCAATGTCAATGTTCTCTTCCTCTTTAGGAGCAAACACTGGCTTAGACTCTAAAATCTTTTTACCCAATTTACCTTGAACTTCTACAACTTTAGACTCATAATATTCATAGTCGTCTGCTTTCTTTGGTTCATAAGGTATAACAAGTTTGTATGCTTTGCCTTCTTTAAGGTTTGAGAACCTTCTGTCAAAACTTTCTTTGACTGCTAACAAACCTTCTATGTCTAAGTCTTCAAATTTCGCACCATTTTTAGTCACAATAGCAAACTTAACTGGTTCGATGTTCCAAACTTTGCTGAATGAAGACTTTTCAAAATGGTAGAAGTAAACATTCAAATATGTGAATGGGTCTAGTTCTTCTTTAAGTCCTGACATGTACTTGTTTACTGAGATGAATTTCGTCATCTTTTCTATCGGATAAAAAAAATATTTTTTTTTAAATTTACTCAGAAAAATTATTTCTTTATATATTTGCCATTCTGAACTTCGAAAAGATGTTTTATACCAGCATAGAATTTTTCTCTAGAGCTTGGTCTTATATCGTTTTCATGACAATATTTTCTATATTCTTCATATAAAGCCTTTTTTTCATACATTTCATAAGGACAATCTAACCAGAATAGCGCATATCCATTTTCGTTATCTAGGTCTCTATATGTTTCTTCTGTTTGTAGAATTTCGCTTTCTTCTGTTTGTGGAATTTCGCTTTCTCTATTTAGTTCTATGTCTATATATTGTGGCTTAAAAAGATGTGGGCAAGAAGGGTTTGGCGCTATGTAAAAAGTTAATTTTTCTGTCATCTTTTCTATCGGATAAAAAAAATATTTTTTTTTAAAATTTACTCAGAAAAAATTTTCTTTGTATATACACCATTCTGTACGTCTAAAAGACTTTTGACATTTGCCAAGAATGTTCGTTTAGATGCTGTCATATAACCATACTCTTGACAATATTGTTTATACGAATCGTACAATGACCTTTCATCTAAACACTCAAAGTCAGTTTCATCTATGAACAGTTCATATACACTCTTGTTTGCTTCTAACAATGTTTGTCTCTCTTCGGTATGTGGAATTTGTCTTGGATTGAACTTTGAAATATCTAATGTCATAAAATATGAGAACAAGTGGTTGTAAAAGTCAGATGTCAAAGTTTCTGCTAAGTCGTCAAAATATTCTGTATCTTGCATATGAGAATCTGACGTTCTGACAACTACATATCTTCTGTCAGAACTTTCTAACTTCATCGGAACAGCATTGTTTGAAACCATAATGAAATTTGCAACATTTTCACAAACTCTTTGGTCTTTATATTTTCTTTCAACAACTCCAACTTTGTCTGTTATAAGACTCTTCAAAGCATCTGAGTTCAAAACTTTTGTTGTATCTATACTTTGAAGTTCGTTACATACTATAAGTTTCATATTCTCTATTGAGGAGTTAAACTTGCCACAGATGTTTTCTAAGTTTGTCATATTAGGGTTCGAATAACCTTCTAACAGTTTGCACAAAATATCTGTAAAGAATGTGTTCTTACCTGTTCCTTGTTTTCCAATTATAATGAGAGCAGTTTCATTTTTAGCACTTGGATGTTGTAAGATGTTTGCAAACCAACATAAGATATACTCATAAACCTTTTCGTTTCCATTGCATATAATTTCTTTGACATGGTCTAACCAAGCTTCTATAATACTGTGTTTCCATTCTACTTGTTCATATTTATATCCAGTGAAGATAGAATAGAAGTTTGGAGAAGGTGTATAGAACTTTATACCTCGAACTGAAAAATCTTCTAACTTTGACAATAAGATATCCCAAGCATCTAACATCTTCATGCCAACTTGTACGACTTTTATTTTCTTAAGTTTCTGTCTACATTCTTGTTCTGAAACTATTGTTGCTCTTGGTTTGTTAAAGACAACATCCCATTCTTTCATGACATAACATTCTGGGGCAGAGTCAACATAAATGACTAAACGTTTCAAATTCTCGACTGCTTTGTTATAGTCTCTAAATGGACACATATTTCTGAACGCTTGGAAGTCATAAAAATCTGAAACATCTATTCTGTACATTTTTATAAAAATAAAAAAAATATTTTTTTTTATTCTTGAGCTATTTGTTGCATTTGTTGTTCTTGAGCTATTTGTTGTTGAAGTTGTTCTTGTAATACAATACTTTCACC